AGTCTCTACACCACAAAAACAGAACCAGGATGGATCAAATGAAGAATTCCAGCAACTTCTTCATTCTGAAGCTTTAGAGATTCTCACAAATCCTTGTGAGATCACCAATCCTACTGAAGCAGAGATCCCGGAGGAGTCAACAGAAAATATGGAGATGTCCAAAACTCCAGAAATAAATGAAGCTCAAGAAGAGCAAGCTGTAGAAGCCCAGAGAAGTTTTGCAGAAGCTGAGAAGGAAACTCAAATGGCAGAACTGGAGGCCTCCAAATCTCCAGTAGCCATTTTTGAAGGACAGAATGAAGCTGAAGAAAGAGACTCCCTCTCTCGGGATATATCAAACTTCACACTTGGGGAAGCAAAAGAAGAATATGAAAGGACCCTGAAGATCAATGATGAAGAAGATGTCCAAGATGATGCTGAATCTCTTCCTATGCAACTCTTCCAAAGAACTCTCTCTTCTCATCAGGTAACCAACTTCCATTTCCATAGCTCTTCCATTCATACTCTTCCGGATGAGGTACCGGAAATCTGGACAAAGAAGGTCCAAGGGCTGATTGACTCAGCCCTAGCATCTCAACATGCCTCCTTTAGGCAAGAGATAGAGCAGATGGAAGCCAGGCACAACAAACTGATTGAGAAATCCGAAGAAACACATTGCTCCAGTCTCAAGGAGATAAGCAAATCAGTGGATAAGACTCTAGAGATCTTATCTCTATTGAGTAACACTGTGAGCAACACGATGGAGACATATGCATCTGATAGTTATCTTCAACTCAAGGAGACTAACAACATCCGAGAGCAAATAGCAAATGTCACAATCAGTCTACAAAAACAAATGTCCATTCTCCAAATGGACATCAGAGCAGCTCTGGCAGTGTCTTCAACAAATCAAGTAGTAACCAAAGACTACTTGAAGGTAATCATTGACAATCAGAAGGAAGCACACAAACTATTCAGACTTCTTACCACAAATTCTGGAAATCGCAAGATGGAAGTGGTTCTTCAACAACACAGTCCATCCTTGATTCCAAAGCTTCCCATTGCAGTCAAAGAAGGAGAAGTCTCTTACATTCCTACGCATCTAAACTTGACTGATCTAGTCTTTGAAGCTCAGAGAAGCAATCCGGAAAACTCAACACAGCGCTTATCCAGCTCCGGATTGGATGGAACAGAGGCTGTAGGAACAATTGCTGCTCACTTCTCAAATGAAAATCAAACAGAGGAGAGACGGAACAACATAAGGCTCATCAAGGAACTATGTGGAAGCATGCAAGGCATCAGGGAGATTGCCGAATCTTCAAAGCGCAAGAAGCACTGAAGGTTTTCTTCATCAAATCAGGGGGAAAGTATGTGAAAACATTAATTTGCTTTGATGAAAACACCTTGTTTAAACATTGCTCTATTGGTTTAAACATTGCCTTAATATTTCTCTTAATTGTGCTCACTATGCTTGATTATACCTAATTCAAGTATGTTTTTGAGAATTATTCCTAGCGCATACAATCAGGGGGAATGTAATTCAGGGGGAACTTAACTAGTTTTTGGCTAACAATTGTTTTTGGCAATGAATTATTGATAAGCTCTAAGCAATGGAAGACGGATATCTCAGTTTTGGGACTAAAATTGGAAATCTCCGATTCAGGTACTTTACAAAATCTGTCTTCTTAAACTAAGCTTCAGTCCTTAATTCATTTCCAACAAGCTCTAAAAGTACTGGTCCTTAGGATTTTTAGAATGTACAGGACTTTGGAAAAATAGTACCACTTTTCTTTTAAAAATAAAATTCATATTTGTTTTGGTACTCCCTCGTCCTAAGTAGAAATTAGAACTATAGGGAATAAAAAATGATAGCTTTATTTTGGGCCTTGAGAACCCAATAGGAATAATTTCTCTTTAGTACATAGCTTTCTTTTCTTTTTGGGCCACTATTTTGGGCTTAGCCAAAATTGAAACAGTTATGGTTCTCAAACCAAATGAAACTGATTTTCAAATTGGAACAGTTTCAATTCATTGGTAATTGGTAAAAGATTCCTTCTACTTTTCAACTTCTTGGAAGTTGAAACTCTTTTACTTTCACCGTTCCATCTACCCAATTAATGGAACCCGTGAACCTCCTCTCTCTCTACCTCCTCTCTTATTTAAATCAAGATATCTCAATCCATTCCTATCACAAACAGCTCTTTCAATATGAAAAATCTTCAAACTCACTGTCTAAGAAAAACACCAAGAAAAATATCCTCAATGGAGAAATTTTTCTTTCTCACCCTCATAGACGGCAATGGAAGAAGCCTATTGAGAAGAAAAGACTTTCAAGGTCTATGGTGAGAATCTCGGCAGTAGAGAAGGTCTATGGTGAAAATCTCGTATTTTTCAAGATTACACCATACACCTTCTCTAGAACAACACTCTCTCTATCTTTCTTCTTATTTTGAGAGATGTGTTGCTTCCAAGATCTTAAATATCCACTTTGGATATTAAAGATCTATCAAACGCACGCCAACCGCTCCGCCAAGCAGAATCTGCTGAAGCTGAAAACGGTCAATGGCGGAAGAGATCACAAAATCTCAAGACAAGACTTGGTTTAGGAATTAGTGTAATTTGAATTGTATTTGTTTAAAAGTTTTTGTTAACAAGCTGTATATTATGAGAAACTAAAACAAAGTTACAAAATTAGTTCTCAGTACAGCGACCGGAACTCTTAAACACTTGTTTGTCATCATCAAAAAGGGGGAAATTGTTGGGAAAAATATCATAGATTTTGATGATGATGTATTTAGAATGTAATAGGGACTTTAGGTCTCCCCAGATATTCAATGTAATTTTTAGAAATATTGTCAAAACCAAGTTCTTGAGATTTCCAATAAAGTTGTGATATTTCTTTAAACGGTTTGATGCCTGAAGACTTAATCAAATTCAGAAATTTTGGAAATTGGATATCTTGATCGGAAATATCAGAGACAAGTAAGGATTTCTCAAAGCAGACAAAAATCCTCCTATCTGGAATATTACATGAGAACCGGATGTCTCGTTACAACCCGCTGAAGGCTAAGTCGGAAGACTAGCGCGGATTTCTTTCTCACCCGGAAGACTGAGTATGACTCTTCCGGATTTGTCAGCTAAGAACCGGATGCCTCAAGGAAGACCGGAATTCTCAAAAAGCGGACAAGTGAGAAAAGACTTAGAAAATTATCTAAGTCTTGAATGAAGAAATTCTACCCGTTGGTAAGGAAAAATCAATCTCTTGATTTTCAACGGCTAGATTGAAGATAATTATGCTGATTCAAGAACAAATGACTCGAAGACAAAGTCTGGACCTCTAAAAATTGAAAAACCTATCCAGAATTCCTAAACAAACACTAGAAGACAAACAGAGTAAAGTTCTACAGTCTAGAATACTTGAACAACAGCTAGAAGATGGATTCTATGGAAAAAGGAATCTCTCCTTTAACAATTGGGTATGTCCAAACACCCATTCCAATGAGGAATCTTCAAATCACAATCTTCATTCAAAATTGAAGCCAGCAAATGCAACGGATAGTCTATTTTGATTCAACGGATAGATTATCCAATCCACCTATAAATAGCATCCTTGGAAGAATGGAGAAAATATATACAACAACTCATCAATAATAAGAAGAACAATCACAAAGAGGCTACCTAATTCACAGCTAGCCCAAAAAGCTTGATAAAGAGAGATTTCTAAACTCCTTATCCAGAAGCAAACTTCTCCTCCTTCCAAAAAGCTATAGTGTAAATACTTGAGGGTTTCCTTGCCTCAAGTACCATACCACGTTGAAGGATACAACTTTTGATCAAACTTATTGATTGAAAGGGGGTAGGTCAACTTTCACACAAGTGTAATTGTTGGTTCATTATTCAACAACCAACTACATAGTGGATTTTGAGGACGTTAAAGGATTACCCCACCTTCGAACCTCGTTAAAGTTTGCGTTTCTCTCTCTTTTATCTTTATTCTTACTTGCAATTATATTAACTGAGAAAACTAACCCATCCATATTGAATACTGCTCACTCTACCCACCAACTTCCGCACATAATCTAAAGTTCACAAGAACTCTAGATTAACACTTATTTTCACGTTTTCAAAAGAAACGAAAAAGTTTGTAAATTTGTAACAAAGTCTATTCACCCCCCTCTAGACTTTGTAACTCACCACTTCGGGACCACCAGCTTCCAATCGCAACTGGCCTTGGGCCCTTTGTGCTTGCACATTATTTCTTTAATAATCGGTTAACTGGCCAAAATTAATCGATTAATAGGCTTAGCGTTAGATTACCCTGGTTTGGAGTTCTAATCGATTTTCTCTCTTCATTTAATCGATTAGTTCAGACAGAACGGACTAATCGATTCTTCAACGCTTTTTTAATTGATTAGTTCCACTGGCTTGTTCGCTTCTGTACACTTTAATCGACTAAAGTATTTACTTTAATCGATTAATATTGTCTGGTGCCACCTCTCAGCTTCTTCGGCTCCAACGGTTCTATTCTTCTTTGCCTATTTAATCCTTCATTCTCCTTCATTTTAAAACACAACTTTTGCACTCTATATCTTTATTCATTCATATTCATTTCTTGCTTCCATCTTCCTCATCAAATATTATTTTGAGAGTTAGAAATATTTTCAAAGAGTGTTAAAGATATTGTCATCCATAGAGCTTCAATCTTTCAAACACTACTTACTCAATTGTGTGAGCTTTCATTCTTGTGTTGTTGAACTCATCTTGTTTGAGTGTTGTTCTTAAGACTTGTGTGACTCAAGTATTGGTGTTGTAAGAAAGTGAGGCTTGTGTGATTCAAGTTCTCAAGTTGTACCGGTTTTTCAAGCACCCGTTGAAGCTTGAAGATTAGTAGGACTTTCGAGAGAGTCTCTCGGAGGACTGGACTAGCCACGAGGTGGTGAACCAATATAAATCTCGGTGTTTTTCTTTCCCCTACTCTTTTATTTATTCCTGCGATTTTAATTTCACGCACGCGAAAAACGCACATTTTTGAAAACAACTCTATTCACCCCCCTCTAGAGTTGCACATTTGTCTTACAATTGGTATCGGAGCAAGAAGTTCTTCGAATACGTTATTTTTTCAGGAACTAAAAGATCAAATGGCATCAAGGATGTTCAACGCAGGAGTAACCGAGGGACAATCAACCACGAGGCCACCTTTGTTTGATGGAACAAACTACTCGTACTGGAAGGAGAGGATGAGAATCTTTATCCAATCCAACAACTACAAGCTGTGGTTGATTGTGAAGAACGGCTGCAGAGTCCCGATGAAGAAAGTCGGTGAGGTCAACGTCCCCAAAACCGAAGAGGAGTTCACCGACGAAGATTGCAAAAAGATGGAGCTCAACGCAAAGGCAATAAACATGATTTATTGCGGTGTTAATGCAGATGACTACCGCAAAATCTCACGGTGTGAAATCGCAAAACAAATGTGGGAAAAATTGGAGGTCACCTACGAAGGAACCGCGCAGGTTCGGGAGGCCAAAATCGACCACCTCACTCATGAGTATGAACTCTTCTAAATGAAGGAAAATGAGAAGATTGGGGAAAAGTTTGAGAGGTTCTCTAACATCATTAATCCTCTCAATCTTCTCGGGAAGAAATACATCGACCGAGAGCTAGCTCGTGAGGAAGGTGCTACGAAACTTATCCCCAAAATGGCATTCAAAGGTGGACGCAATTGAAGAAGGTCGTGATTTCCAAACAACGACCTATGATGCTCTTCGAGGTAATCTCATTACCTACGAAACCACCCAACTCTCAAAGGTGGTTGAAGAGAGGAGCAAGAGGTCTATTGCTCTACCCGCAACAACATCAACCCCTAACAACAGAGATGATGAAGATGATGACAGCGACGACACCGACCTCGGACTCTTCGTCCGAAAATTCAAGAAGATGATGCTCAAGAAGGGAGCCAAGAAGAACACTCCACCCAAGTGCTATGGATGTGGTGAAATTGGACACATCAAACCAATGTGTCCGAAGCTCAAGAACAAGAAGGACAAGAGGGCACCGAAGAAGCAACGTGCCTACATTTCTTGGGAGAACGATGGCTCCGAGAGCGAAGACTCGGAAACGGAGGAAGTGGCCAATCTATGTCTCATGGCCATTGAAGATGGAGAAACATCAAAAGAGGTAAGTGATCAAGAACCTTCTCCCAATGATCCTTTAACTCTTAATGATGTAGTTTGCATTGTAGAAGAACTTGTAGGAATGTTCAAAAAGGCTTCCAAAGAAAACAATGAAGTAAAGCAAAAATCCTGATTTTTAAGAATGATGTCAAAGAACTCAAAAATATAAATGATAAACTTAAACAAGAAATTATCTCTTTTGGAAAAAGGCTACAAGAACCTTCATCTGTTGAAACACGGGCTTGTCACGTTTTCGTACTAAAGCCGTGTTCGTTTTTGTAACAGGTTTTGATAATGCCAAACCGCCGTGATCAAGTCGAACATTGAATATACAAGGCGAAGAACGAAGATAAGAGCAAGAGCTAAACGAAGACAAAGAACGAAGACCTTAGTCATAGTATTGAGTCGGTCTTTATTGTGATCAAGACCGGCCCAATCTTTACGCTAAAATCTCTCATTGCATTTCTTATATCATAAAAATGCTTTTCAAACTTGTTTAAGTCATTAAAAACACTTGGTGTTTGCCCAAACCAAAAACCAAGCCATCCAGTGTTCGACTTTCAGAAACCAGCGTTCGGCTTTCGGTTGTCGGGTTTGGTTTTTGGCATCCGAACCAAGCAAGTGGTTTTCAGCATTTTATGATCTGCTTTCACTCTTTGGCATGTTTAAACGGTTCTCCAACAAAAACACTTTGAAAACCATCTCTCGCTTTTAGTCGTTTGACAAAAACCACGCAAAACGGCGTAAACTTGGCTAGCCGTGGTTTTTACTCAAATGACGTGATTTTTAAAGTGTCTCACTTGATTTCTTAGCAAAATACATCAAATAAGTGTTTTAAACACTTGGTTTTTATTTTGGAGAACTTTGGATTTTTCGGTCGGTTTTTGCATCGGTTGGCTAGGCCGTGGTTAAGGCAAAAACCATAGGTGTTTGGCTAACCACCCACCCAGTGATGGGAAGAACATCCCATCGATGGGAAGCTTGTACCCATCGAAGGGTACTTAACCGTTGGCTTCAAAACTGAAGGAAAATTGGCTTACCAGCGATGGGTAAGTTCCAAACATCGATGGGAAGCCAATATCCTGCAGATCCCAAATTTATTCAATCCCTTAAATCAAGTCAATCACCCCTTTAATGCATTGGTCCATTGGAGCCTATTTTGGCACTATAAAAAGGGGTGTTTGGGTCTGCTTTTCTCATCAATTCACTTCACAATATTCATATCATCATTGCATTAAAACAACATCATTTTTCATAGCTTTCTAGAGCCAATATGTGAAGTTTGAGTTCTTCTTGAGCGTATATAGTTTACTCAACATCTACTCTAAAAGAGATCCTTGTTCTTGAGTGTCTTAGTGTTGTACACACGTTAAGGGAAGCTTGTTTCCCTTGGTTGTACGAAGGAAAGGTATTTTTCCTTCGGGTTGAAGTCTTGGAGTGCGGTATCTCCGAGCAAGTGTTTTTGATGCTCGTGGGACTCGAGTTCTCAGGTTGTAACGGTTTGTTAAGCACCCGTAAGATTAACGGAAGTAGTGTAGCTCGAGAGAGTCTCTCGGGAGGCTGGATTAGCCACAAGTTGTGGTGAACCAGGGTAAATCTTGGTGTGCTCCCTTTACACTTTCTACGCTCTTTATCTTTCACGTTCTTAATTTTTTTTTATTCCTGCGATTTCTACGATCAAACGCTATTCACCCCCCCTCTAGCGTTGGTCACTTATTCTAACAATTGGTATCGGAGCCTAACTCGCGTCTAAACTTAACCGTTTGAGAGTAAAGCGATCATGGGTTCTTCTTCTAGAAATCTTTATGCAGGAATTGGAGAAGGTCAATCAACCTCTAGGCCACCGCTTTTTGATGGCACCAACTACACATATTGGAAAGAGCGGATGAGAATTTATATCCGCTCAACCAACTTCCAGTTGTGGTTGGTCATCAAAAAAGGCGAAGAAACGCCAATGAAGAAGGTCGATGAAAAACTCGTCCCAAAGACCGAAGACGAATTTGATGCCGAAGACATCAAAAAAGTGGAGAACTACGCCAAGGCAATCAACATGCTGTACTATGCAGTCAATCCTGATGATTATCGCAAGATCTCTTGCTGCACCACGGCAAAAGAAATGTGGGACAAGCTGGAAGTCACATATGAAGGTACGAACCAAGTTCGGGAAGCCAAAATTGACTTCCTAACGCAGGAGTACGAGATGTTCAGGATGAAGGAGCACGAGAAGATTGACGATATGTTCGACCGTTTCTTCAAGATAGTCAACGATCTTCATGCATTAAAGAAGACGTACACCGACAGGGATCTTGTGCGAAAGATCCTACGGAGCTTGACATCCGAATGGCGATCCAAGGCCGATGCCATCTATGAATCAATCGGCACATCAAATGTCACCATCGATGGCCTAAGAGGTAATCTAAAAACCTATGAATCGACTATTCTTAATCCGTCTTTGAATGACCAAAGGAAAGGGATAGCACTAAAAGCCGTCAAAGAATCAACGATGGATGATTCAAGTGACGATGATGAAGTCAAGCTTGTCATGAAGAAGTTCTGCAAACTTCTAAGAAAGAAAGAAAAGGTTGAGGATGGCCCTGTGTGCTATGGATGTGGATAAGCCGGGCACATCAAGAACAAATGCCCGAAAAGTAGAAGGAATGCTCGACACTTCAAAAGGCAAAGGGCGTATATCTCTTGGGGTGGAGACTCCGGCGACGAGTCAACCGACCAAGATGAGAATGAAGTTGCCAACCTCTGTCTCATGGCACACGAAGACCAAACCGACGATGTACAAGAGGTATGTACCATTTCTTCCGACTCTTACACTTTTGAAGAAATGCAAGAAGCACTTCACGAACTTTATGGTGAATTTGTTAGCGCTTCTAAACTCAACAAATCGTTAAAGAAACGCCTTTCCACTCTTGAAAATGATTTTGAAAAGTTGGAAAAAGATAATGAGAAGTTGAAACAAGAAAATAAATTTTATGGCAAAAGAAGCGCCAACAAACCGGAAAGTTCCTCAAACGAATGTGAATCTTGTAAAGCTTTAAAGGAACAAGTCACTAAACTTGAGAGTACGGTTAAGAAATTTAATACTCCGCACAAAAATCTTAATTTACTCCTTGACACCATGCATTTTTCTAAAGAAGGAATAGGTTTTGATAAAAATGAATCTAAGGATAAAAACGTTGAGCAAACACCTAGACAACCTCCTAAGGCTCAACATAAGAAAAGTAAAAATCAGGATAATAGAAAATCTAGTCAACCTAAGGACACTAGACAACCTAGACAAAAGCCTAGGAATGAAAATGTGCATGTTAGACAACCCAAGAAAAACTATCAAAATGATTTTGTGCATAAAATTAATTTTTCAAATAGACAAAATAATGCTAGAACACCTAGAAGAGAGAGTTTTCAAAAACCAATATTTTCCCAAAATAGGATGAATATGGTTAGGCCCCCTAGCTATTATCAACCTAGGCAC